AAAGATTCAAAGGCTCCAATTGGGGCGCTACTCCTGCGGCACGAGCCACTCGGAAAACACTATCGCGGAGCGTGGTGTGCATGAGTTGTTTGCGTCCTTGACCCATACATGCCAAGACATGGTGACCTTGAGGATCCATCGGTTGTTGGCAACAAGAACAATTACCGAAACCATCAAACATAGCAAGCCCCAATCGTAAACCTATCGCATCCCGAAATGCGGGATCGGGCAAAAGGGTGTCCTGTGTCATCCCCGGGTTCTGGTGCAGCCACGCGTCCGCGTCTTTAGCTGCTACCGCGCGCAAACGCGCCCTTCCTGAACAGTCCGCTTGATCAAGAAGCGCCTGCGTCGTTTTCTGATACACAGGCTCTAAATATTCTACTTGTCGCAATTTCTGAATAGGGGGTGGCCAAGATGTCCCAGTCGGAGCACAATGCACTGATAGATGCTGAATCGCCAATTCTTCATCAGCACACGGCTCGCGCACATGACCCTCCGGCAGTAGGCCAGCCACGAGCTCGGAACATTGTCTTCTCGAGATCACATAAGACAGATCCGATATGTGAACAACTTCCATGCCTATTTCAACGCGCGAAGAAGTCAAGCCTAGACCCCCACGACTGAGGGGAAGTTTAGCCTGTATCCACTGCTGCTGGGACAAGACCGATCCTAACATATGCTCAAGCACCCGACGGGGACGATCATGACAATACTCTAATAAAATTCGTAATTGTCGACGTGGCATAGTACGACACCAATATTGAATCTTGTTATAAGAGACCCCGTGCCGAAGCAAACTGAATGCCACATGTGCATGAGGCAAACATTCCAGTGCATGAAATAATTTCTCCAACTCTCCCTGTTTCTCTTCCTGGAAGGATTGGAGGAAATCCGCATTCTCACTGATGGGCGTTTTGAGCATGAGGACATCCGCGCCCGTGACCTTACGGACACCCAAAGATTGGAATCGCGAGACGTCCCCCCGGAAGCGCTCCCCCGCCAACAAATACAAAGTACATTTACGCGGATCCACATGCAGCCCGTACGCGTCGGCCAGTTGGAGTTCTTGTCGGAATTGTTCCCAAACTTCATCAACCGAACCCCCACTAAAGCTATCATCCGCGAAAGCAGGCGAAAACCCCGGGGAGGGGCGAGGATTGTTACGCCGGGCCTCCTCAATCAAACGACAACGCGACAAGCAAAAAAGGGGCGCCATGAGCGGACATCCCTGCTGACCCCGTGCGCATTCCACTGATTCTCTTTGGTATACCAAACGAGATGGGGTCCCGTAATAATACTCTGCAAATCGCGCCGAGGCCGGAGCATACGTTGCCGCATCTTGCAAAAATTGAGCAGGCAAAAGCGTATTAAACGCATTGGAGATATCAGTTTGCAACAACACACAATCCGGTTGGTGCCGATTTGACGCCAACCATTCGCGAGTCGCGTGTAACATTGCTTCAGCCCCACACACGACACCCACAGCCATTTGGTCGGGGAGCAAACGTTCCCTTAGCGTGGCCTTATCCATTTGCAAGGTGCACTTGAAAACAAGCTTGCGCCAAGTCAAGCCCATAACAATGGGACGAGCATCAGCAATCAAAGCAATTGGACGTCCGAGGCTATCGTGTTTACCCACCCCGATCAGCTGCCCACCTGCAAGCCAAGGCCTGAGATAGGTCGGAGCCAATCCATCCCCCAAGAGCTGGGCGAAATCCCGCATATACAAAAGCACTGGGTCGTCTTCCGAATCGCCAATCATGGACTTCAAGAACTCGGCACGTAATCCATCTGGCCCTGGCCCCACCCCCACAGCGAAAGAACGAAGAGCGCGGAGAAAAACATCCATTTCGATATGTCCTGGGGGCGCTGCCGGGTGACGACCAACAACTTCTCGCCCAGGTGGAATGGCTGGGAACTTAGCCAACAGAGCAGCTCGAACCGCCGGAGTGTCTGACGCCAATCCCAAAGACGTGAGGCGGTGCAACGCCTGCGATATCCTTCCTAGGCCGACCAGGCGTTCAGTCTCCCGCACTTTAAACGCCCACTCTTCCTCGGGAGAACGTGAGTTTCTCCGCAAGCCTGGAACCTTACAACCCTCAACGGCCTCGCGCCACAAACCCGCCCTTTCCCCCGATCGCCACCGGAGTAGCAAGGTCTTAGTGAAGTGGAGTGCTTGGCCCGGCCTTTGACCTCGCTTGAACTGTCTTAGGGTGCATTTGGGGAACATTAATAAGGCTAGCCATGCTTCACGGGCTCTGCGGTGGGCTTCCGTATCCTGGATGCCCCGACCACCCTGTTCAACAGGCAAAGGGTCCCACGCATCGATACGACTGCTGGCCAGAACTGCAGCCAGGAGTTTCGCATATTCGGTTTTAGCCAAAGGGACAAGAACTTGGGGGATATAGTCTTTGATACGCACATGGGTGAGGAAAATATCTTCAAGGGATGGTCAAACCTCATTCTCATTGTCAAATTGAGACATCACTGCAGAAATTATCCCGCCTTGCGTATCGCGGTGACTGTGTTTCCAACAGCTAGGGTGTACTCCGCCATGCACTCGAACAGAAATAGACCGTCCTCAAATCCGACAACAAGTCAAACCATTGGCTTCAAACCAAGACGCAGGCGGGCGGCCTCCAAGTTCCCCGCCCAAGTGCATGTCGACATGAACGCGCATGGCTTGAAAGCTACTCCACCCCGGTCGGTCGCCCGAGGTGTGTCGACTACAACCCGCAACAGGACACGCAAAGGATTCAGCAACCCGGCTGGTGTGGGGCCGACACGGTCCGGCCTCCAATTCCAGGAGCTCCTCTGGCGAGAGATCCTCGCCGAAAAGATGCCTGAGCATGGTGTCGGCGGCGTGCTCGGGAGCAGTATCGACTTGCATAGGCACTACGTCTGGGAAAGCTGGGAAAAGGTAGGTATAGAGTTGCAGACAAAGCAGCGTTCGTACGGACACCACATGATGGGTCATTACAAACATACTCAAAGCCGACAACAACCGACACTGACCTAAAGGACGATGCAAGCGTGCCCACCGTGCTCCAAGGACCGCCAAGAAGCCCAGAAGTGAGATCCAGTCACGACACGGCTGAGCTAGGAACATGCTGACCGTGACTCCCCAACCCTTGCTCTCCAAGATCATTTCGAATAATTCCAAGATGCCCTTGCATATCGAAGTCAAAGATTCATATCCAATGCGCAGAAATCGGATCCCTTCATGCTCACAACGATTCCCGAGAGATCCCGATCCTCCCTGGGCTCCGACCGCAGAGGCTGCGCAGCTCCGCAGATGGAATAAATAAAACAACGACGCAGGGGTAGTTATAGCGCCAAGATCTCTTTTGGTACAACAAAGTCTCGGCTCACTACGAGACTCTCGTACATACCATCTACAGCCTTCATTTCCAATTCCTGAAACACACAGACACAACAAAATGCCGACGAGGCCCCACGATGACGGTTTGGGTCGCTTAGCGTGCATCCCACACAGGCACCACGGCAGTTCCAGGACGCTGTGGCCGCTCAGCTGCTACCCATGGCTCAGGGTATTGGAGACTTTTTATCTACAGATCTTCATATATTTCGATGGATTTCTAATATAATGATTATGATTCTTTTCTTCTTTTAGGTCATTTTGTCATTTTCAAAAGCTCTTAATCCCCATGGAAATCCTATCTTAAGATTATATATTCAATTTTCATTTTTTGTTGCGTTTGCTTGTTATCTCCTTTTATATTATGATCTCGAATTATGCCATTGTGTCGGGAAGGGGGGCTCGGAGCAACAATAGTCGGGGATTCAAGGTCTTCGAAGGGGTCAGAAAATTCATCATCTGCATGTTGGGCCGGGACAATGGCCAATATGATTATGAATGGCAGGTCCTTAAGGACCGAATATTAGTGGACCTTTTAGGTCGGATCGTCCCGGCAATAGCCTTGTTGGCCTCCGGCTTTCTACGAAATAGAATTAGGCCGGACGCCAATGCCACCGACCTTGCACGGCCCGGATTTAGAATTAGAATCGGGCCCGGTCGATTTTCGTGGATTGAGGCACGAAAAATGGGCCGGGGGTATATGCCCCATGAGGCCCCCCCCCCCCCCCGGGGCGCGCATCAGGAGCATCAAGGCTCCCCTCCGGGATCCAGGGCGCGTTTCCACGACGTATCTAATCCCGGGGGTTAGGAAAAAGAGAATTTAGGGTCCGTAACAAACTTGGAAATTTCAAAGAATATAGGAGCCTCCAAGCTCCCCGGCTTAGTCCCGAAACTCACTGCTCCCCAAATCTGTCCCGAAACAAAAAACCCCCAAGTTCCCCAACTCGATCCCCAAGCTCACTACTCCCCACCTCTGTCCCACAACAAAAACCCCCAATCTCCCCAACTCCGTCCCGAACTCACTGCTCCCCAATTCTGTCCGAAACACAAAACCCCCAAGCTCCCCAGCTCAATTCCAAAACTCACCACTCCCCAACTCTGTCCCGAAACAAGAAACCCCCAAGCTCCCCAGCTCAGTTCCTCCCCAGCTCTATCCCGAAACACAAAATCCCCAATCTCCCCAATTTCGTTCCGAAACTCCCCGCTCCCCAACTCTGTCCCGAAACAAGAAACCCCCAAGCTCCCCAACTCAGTTCCTCCCCAGCTCTGTCCCGAAATATAAAACCCCCAATCTCCCCAATTTCGTTCCGAAACTCACCGCTCCCCAACTCTGTCCCGAAACAAGAAACCCCCAAGCTCCCCAGCTCGGTCCCGAAGCTCACTGCTCCCCACCTCTGTCCCGCAACAAAAAACCCCAAGCTCCTCAATAATATAGGACATCTTAGAAAGATGAAAAGAGAAAAGAGAGCAATTGAAGAATCTTAAGACAAAATCGATGCAAAAATTGTTCTAGAAATATTTTCTTTAAATATTTTTGAGAAAAATTGTTCTGCTTTTTTGGAATTTAGGATTCAGGATTTTCTATAAATTGATCTCTGGCTCTTGGTGGACCTTTGACTTAGGATTTGAGATCTCTGCCTTCTGATTTCTGACTCTTATTCCTTATTTGGCCTTCGACCTCGGATTTACGATCTCTATTCTTGGTCTCTGACTTTGATTTGACCTTTGACCTCGGATTTGTGATCTCTGTCTTCTGATCTCTGGCTCTTATTTGACCTTTGACCTCGGATTTAAGATCTCTGCCTTCTGGTCTCTAACTCTTATTTGGCCTTTGATTTCGGATTTATGATCTCTATCTTCTGATCTCTGACTCTTATTTGGCCTTTGATTTCGGATTTGGGATCTCTACCTTCTGATCTCTGGCTCTTATTTGGCCTTTGATCTCTCAAATAGGGGCGGGGGGGGGGCCCCCCCCCCCCCCCCCCCCTTGTCTAAATTATTTTTAAAAAAACATTTTCAGAATGAATTAATTATATTTCTTTTTCCGGCGTCGATGATTTTATCTTTATAAGTTGGAATCTTTATCTTCTCTCTTTATCCTTTTCGTCTTTCTGAGATATCCTCTATATGTTTGGGTGGTGGCGGATTTTTAATCACGATGGGATATATTTGAGAATACGAAATTGATATATTTTATTTGATAGAATTGAATATTGGATATTGAGATTTTGAGAATCGAGTGGGGTAAGAGACGTATGCTCCCAAAAGAATCAATTATCATAAATCCTCCATAGAGATTCATTTGAGAATCTTGATGAGGCGAGAGATATATATTCCAATAATCATCAATTAAGCATGAATCCTCCATAGAAACGAAAATAATGAGAAGAGATTTCCATATCTGGATACGTTGGATCACCATATTACGTAATATTATATATTCTCTAGCAATCCAGGCTGGAGTTCAGCCCCAACTTGAACCCCAGAACTTAATCCCCCACGGAGCCCGCCCTAAGACCAACTAATGTTCTTCTTCGTTCCACATCCCAGATTCGTTCATCTTCTTGGAAGAAGTTTCCGAGCTTGGCTTTGGACTTTGCAATCATTTCTCCATTTATGATTAGAATTGAGAGAGAGAGTACAAACACCCATGATTTGGGAGTCTATGGGGGGTCTGCTGAAGGAGAGTGCGAATGTATTGTTGTCCTTGTGCCGCGCCGCGGACGAGAGGTTGGGGCTACGGAGCGAAGTATCTAAAGACAAGTTCTATGATAGAATATCTTTTTTAATTTGCAACGTGATTTTCATCAGGCATGCGCGTAACAACGCGCCCACATGGCGCACATTGCGGTCCATGCTGCTGGCGGGGGTTATCGGGGCTGAGCTGTCGCTTGCCAGGTAGAAGGTAGGAGATTTGTTCAGTAGTCCATGATCGGGCTTAGAGCCTCGTCTTTGCCTTCGGTCTTGGATTTGCTCCGCGTATTCTCTTAAGTCGGGGTGGTGGTGGATTTGCTTTTTCTGAGAATGTATGGAGTAATGACGGATATTTCTTCGTCGAGGCTCTATGTTCTCTATATATGTTGTTTCATTCTCATTTATATTGGTTAGGATGCCGGGGGCTTTTGGACGTATAAATCGTTCAAATCTTATCTCATATGATCTCTTATATATAACGATCCTTCATCATGAATTTTCTAATCTAGAAATAAATATTTAATTTTCAAATACTTACTTCTAGAATCTCGTAATGGACGAAGAGAGATTTATATCATATCCCAAACTAAATATATTAATAATCAAGGGTTCGGATGGTCGCAATTCATCATCTCCACGAATCCTCAAATTCTCTTCCATATATTCAAATATCCATCATCACCCCGAATTTAAAAAGATTTTAGAGACTCGTGTCACGCATTTTAGATCGGTTCCTAGATTTTCACATTCTATTTCTTAATTAATATTTTTAGAAATAGAAACCTCATATGCCAATGATATATAAAGATAGATATCATCATCGAATTGATTTTCATATTTAAGAACATCTGAAATAATCAAAGAAAATATTATTTTTTAGATATTAATTCATCATAAATCCTTTGATCATTTTCATTTGGGTTTTTTGATATTTTTGGTTTTATGGCATCCAATCTTGAATAATCATTAGACCATAGAAACATAAATCTCTTCTTTCTTTTCGATCTTATACCAGATCATGAATTAAGATTAATTGGAATTTTTGGGAATTGAAATCTCTCATACCATTTTTAACAATTTTGATATTCTTTAATCATTTAAAATGAAATTCTTATATCTCTTTTGAATATTCATGTTTAATTCTTTAGATATCCTTAGAAATGATTCTTAAAAATATTCTGAAAATATTCTAAATAGACCCCTAAGAATTTTTAATACATATCCATTTTTTTCATCAAATTATATATATAATATCAATATCATTCTAAGACAATTCTTCCTTTCTACTATATATAATTCTTGATTAATGAATATTTCTTAGAAATATTTTTTTGAGAATTTTTATTTCATTATAGAATTAATAGCGAAAAATAATCAATATCTCAAAAATTATTATCTTTCGTTTAATATTCATGATTATATTATCTTCATATCCAAATTCTTTATCCTTCGCAGATATGATAATATAGAGAAAATGAAGAAAGAATCGAAAATATCATATCTGCATTAGACTCTTTATATTTTTCTATCAAAACGTGATATTTGAATACTATAGAAAATATCTTATGTCTCATAAAGATAAAGTAGTAAGCATTTCATGATATTGTGATATAGAGGTTTGAGAGAATTCGTTTAGTTCAAGAAACCGATATCAATTATGAGATATAAGTCGTAGATCACGGCTTTCGGGTTTCCAAATTAAAATATGCACGGCCCTAAGTCGTGGTGATGGCCCCAAGTTACCGGCACATCACCTCCCGTATTCTCGGAGTTCCTTGATTACGATTTCGGCGCTCTTACTCGGACACTCCAGGCTAGTTAGGGCTAGGGTTTAGGGTGAAAGGTCTATGGTCCTTCGACTCGCGCACTCGCCCCAAGTAAGCACGGATGCATGACAGACGGTCTCAGCTTTCTTGGCGAATGCGACTCCATGTGTCAGACTGTACTCTTCGGCCAGCTCTTCCGGCGAAAAGCGGTGGGGCTCCGCAGCGCGTGGCTTGGAGCCCTAAACCCTAAACCCTAAACCCTGAACCCTGAACCCTAAACCCTAAACCCTCAAGGCCAGGATAAATAGAAATTGTAGGTGTTTCATTACGAGCAGCTCGTGCAATAATCCTTCATCCTTCACAGTGCAAAATATTAGCCAAACCCTTCAGCCAGCCCCCCCCTCAGCCCACTTGCCAGCCCCAACGCCCCCCAGCCCCACAACCCCAAAGTCAAAATGACAAAAGCAAAAAACAAAACCCGACAAATCCCGACAAAACCCCACAAAACTCCGGACACAAACCCTATACAATTTCTATAAACCCTAAGCCCTAAGCCCTAAGCCCTAAACCCTAAGAAATTGCTCACTTCATGAGTTTTCCGCCTAGCTCTGTTGGAGCCCGTTTCCTCTTCCCACTTACTGAAAGCGACGCTTCTCGACGGATGCATCTGCATCAGGTTTGCTCTTGTTCACATCCTTTGGCAATTCTGCGGCTTTTGCCTTGCATGTCTCTTGGAACTCAGTCATATCAGCAGGCGGCTTGCCATCAGGCAATATGTGGGTCTGGCAAGTAGGTGAATCAGCCATTATGTGGTGTATGCATGCAGACCACTTCATGAACACCGCCCCACAGTGCGGGCAGGCATACTTTGCGGTAGCTCGCACGGCTTCGGCAGACTTCAGTAGTGCGGCGGATTCGTTGCTGGACAGACCCTGCAAACTCGCCAGCGACGGCTGATCCTGTAATATGGGTACCTTCGCTGCCAGATTGACATCATTTCCGGCCTTGTTCTCCTTCTCCTCTTCTCGATGCTTCCCAAGCATGAACTCCTCCTGCTTTTCATCTGCCATCCCATGCTCAAAATTGTCACTACTCTGGCTCGCCTCGCCATACTCATCATGAAAACCCTCTGGACCCCGATTGATGGTGTGCCATGTCCGATTACGTGCCCTTGCGTCGGAGAATGCACGCCAGTCGTCGTTTTTCCAAGACCAAGAGCCATACCATCTGCACGATGTCCTGTTCTTTCCACCATTTTGTTCCCATGAACTGCTACCATACCACTGGTCCTTCCACCACTCTTTGTTGTTGTCGCTCAGAGTCCGGCAAGACCTGCCATCCTTTCTACTGTCGGCCAGTGATGCAGGAAAAATGTCCGAAGTTGGCAGACGCATTCCATTTTCATCGAAGGCCATCGGCTTGCAGCCCTCGGGGATGGCGCTGGTCAGCCACGCTGATCTCTGTTGCCACTCAATGTTTGCAGCGTACCCCTGGATGGAGGACCACTCTGATTTGCACGGACGCTCGCTAGTGTGTCCTTTCCAGTCGTCGGTGCCATCGAAATGATTCTGGCATTGCACAGCTGTTTCATGTTTTCGAAAATTAATGTAAGCTATGCCTCGGTTCTCGAATTTGTCCATGTCCATGGGCAAATAGAAGTAGTCATATGCGCAGGGGAAGTGCTCATCCAGCAAAGCCAGAAGAACCTCTGCATTCAGAGTCTTCGGAAGACGTGTCAATACGACGGTTGTTCCATCACCTTCTGAATTCCATGCCGCCTTGGACGTCGTCTGTCGGACCTTCCAGGTCTTGCCGCCTTTCCCGTTGTCCCCACAAGCCGACCACATCCTTCCAGGCAGTCTCGTAGCAACTGTCACATAGGGCTCTTGATTTCAGAATAGCAGCATCAGAACAATGTTCGGATGCTTGAGCCAACATGGCAGGCGACGAAGTGTGAATTCGCAAGATTTTCCACATGCTTGCATCCAAGAGCTTCACCTTCACGACGAAGCGGAAAGGCGCTATCGAGATTTCGTCTGTTCTCTGTTAGACAAGAGGAATAAAGTGCCTAGGGAATTTCGCAGAGGAAAGGCGTTATTGAGATTTCACTCGCCCTCTGTTGGAAAGAGGAAACCAAATCCCCAGAAAATTTCGACGAGTAAAGGCGCTGTTTGGAAAAGATGAAACAAAATGCATAGAGAATGTCGAAGAGGAAAGGCGCTATTGAGATTTCGTGCGCTCTCTGTTGCAAAGAGGAAACGAGATGCCTATGGAACTTCGAAGAGTTTCGAACAGGAAAGGCGCTATTGAGATTTCGTCTGCTCTCTGTTAGAAAAGAGGAAACAAAATGCCTAGGGGAACTTCGAAGAGGAAAGGCGCTATTGAGATTTCGTCTAGAATCCGAAATTTCCAGAAAGAAAGTACCCAGAAAATTTGCGGAGAGTTCGGGAATCCCCTGTCCCCATAAGCAGCCAAAAGGAATGGAAGAGGAGCGGGCACACGACAAGGCTGCCGCAGAGTATTAAGGACACTTAGTATAAGGGGGAACATCCAAAGCATGTTCTACTAACACAAACTACAGATCCATGCCGCGACATATTCCCCCAAACTCTGCAAGTCTTGATGCTGGGTCTTCCACGTTCTGACAGCACATCTTAGCAACGGATCCTACTGGGCACCCTCGGTTCGCATCAGGCTTGAGGGAACGGATGTTGGTTAAGCTACACCTTATTCTGATTCTAAGCCATGAAGATTCGAAGAATGGACAACCAGGATGCGTTCAGTGATCACACCTAAAACTCCACATCCTAACGCCCGAAAACCGGTCGCTCCTAACAACAACTTCTGCTGAACTCCACCCGTGTCATCACCAATATAAAAATGTGTAAAAGCTAAGAATAGCCTAAGAATTGAGCTGACCTGGCAAAATATGCATGTTTCTTGGGGGAGGGGGGATCACTTCCAGGACAATTTGCTGCCAAAATGGTCGAGGCCCCAAGAGGCCAACCAGGCCAAGGGTTTAGGGTTTAGGGTTTAGGGTTTAGGGTTTAGGGTTTAGGGTTTAGGGTTTAGGGTTTAGGGTTTAGGGTTTAGGGTTTAGGGTTTAGGGTTTAGGGTTTAGGGTAAAACAAACACAGGCCCGCAGGTGCCAGGTTGCATCATCACTCACAGCAGAAACCAAAAGTCTTAATGCAACTTCTGAAAAGGTATGGCGACCAACAAGAAACACGAACAGCGCTGGTAGGCATGGCTTCCACTTGCTGAAAAAACACTGTGCTCACTGTGCACACAAGATTCTGTTAAATTGTCCTGTGCATGCTAAGACAAAGTAACACGGCAAGACCACTCTACAACTTTTTGCCTGCTGGGACAGCGAGCATTGGCCAGCCCAGAGAAAGATGTGATCCGCTTCGCCTGACACCCAGGTTGTTCTTCAACTGGGCCACAGCCAGTCATGAAGCCATGTGCTGCTTGCGTGACTGATCTCTCGCAACCATTGCATAGAGCGTCGCGGCACCAAATGGCTTTGCCAAGTTGGAAGCCGTTGGCTCTTTGCACAACAATTGACATGCCTCCCTCGCTGTGACGGTCACACCGAGATCGCCCAGAAAGTGGGCGAAGTGCCGCGGATACACACATTTCGAATGTGGATCCGCAGCAGCGGAGTAATGAGCCATCTTGCGGTAGGCATGGTAAAGGTTTGAGCTAGATTGCCTGTTGTACTTCTCCATGAGCATCTGGCGAATATGTTCCACGCGTGTTTTTTCATTGAGAGTCGATGTGCTGTTTGCCAGATGAGCATAACTTCCGTAGGCGCGCCACTTGGTGTCAAAGCGCACGGCCGACTCGCTTCTGCCGAATCCGCCAAAGAGCGTGGGGGATTTGACAGTGTCCTTAAGGCCGGCAGGCATCGCTGTCCTGTCAGGCGCAGCCGTGCGCTGTAAGGAACTATGGCGACCACCTCTGCTGGGGAGCTTGGTCTTGTCGAGTGACGCTGAACTTGCCGCGATGCTTGGAGAGCGCTGCAGTGCAAGATCCGGCTTCTGGGATATCTTCTGGGTCTTGGCCGCATGTGCACGCAGGTTTTCATGAGTGAGTGTCTTGACCTGCGTGAGCGCGGGCGCTGAGTGCGGCCTAGCCAGTCGGCAGTTTTGAGGGATCCAGAGCGGTTCATGTACCCTCACTGTGGCCTGCACAGGCATGCCAACACTTCTGCAGCAACCACTGCGCAACAAAGTCGCGCCCCTGGAATGGTTTACATCGCGAAGCAACAGCTACCTCTGACAGCTTTGATGCCTATTCGAGCCGACACGAACCCGAAGTTATATGTCACCTTCTGGCGGTACACCATGGCACACCTAAGGAACACCTACCACGTCTAAGGAGGACCTTTTTCCTCCTCAGCATCCAGCAAAGAGCGCGACAAGTCCTCGTCGATGCTTCTGGACCTCTGGGCCGATGTCACATCCTTGCGCCCTTCAAGTGCTGTTGCAGAGCCTTCAAAGCTCGATCTTCCTGGCCTTAACCAGAAACCGGCTGAGAGGACCGGCTCGGCACTGTTCCGGCAGAGTCGAGGCTGCGTCCGGGGTGCGCCTCAGGTGCAGCCACGCAAACTTCCTAACGCTTCCCCCTATTGATCGCGCTGCCTGGTCTATGATCCTACAGGAGATGAACAGCCGTGCATGCGGGGCTCTTGTTGCGCGTCACCCCACAAGACTGAAAGCCTGAACTGCCCCCGAAACGCTTAAAAAATCGCATTCTGTAGCCAAGAGGCCGCAAAGCTTCCATGGCGCGCTCCAAGCGTGCAGAGACAGACTTCCGGTCCAGGGCCTGCCACGGGCCTGGAAGAGCTTCGTCCAGAAGTGCCAGCAGCCCGTCTGCCACGTTCTCAAGGCCCTCGTTCATCTTTTCCTTGCTTGCAGGGTTTGGGAGATGCAGTCCTTGCCTGAACCTCTTGCTCAGTTCGGTGTCTTTCTCAAGCACTGACAAAAGAGTGCTGTAAACGTCCATCCTGTTGCTCGATTCTGCCACATCCAAGAGCAGACTTGCGGCGCTCGTGCGATTGGCCATGATGGCCCAGTGGGTTGAGGGCCCTCTTCCACAGCTGCTGGTCTGGTGAGGGGTGCCCCGGGGTATGCGCAGCAAGGATCCTGTGTGGAGCTCCAAACGCCGGGATGCAAAGCTTAAACCGTCGAGGCAGCTGAAGTTCCCAAGCTCTGAAGGATGACTTACCAAGTGGCTTTGAAGGGGTGGGTGCCAGTGTGTCCACGCACGGCAGCCCTGAATTTGAAAGATGAACACATCATGAGCATCTGCATGTGCACAGACTGGCTCTCCTTGAGCTGGATGGCTATACGAGCTGACGGACACGGAGGAGAGCGCCGACTGATTGGCAAGGATGGCTGCTACTGCAGCCGCTGCTGGCAGAAACAGATCGAGGCTTGAGAGGATCTGGGTGTAGCCAGCTCGAAAGCTTTGGGCCCCTCTGACAGAGGTGTTCCTGCCCTGCACCGCAATCCCAGAAGAAGCCGTGGTAGACAGTCCGGCCGAAGCGCGCAGCTGCTCTCGGAGCTCTGGCTCCGTCATCTGCAGAAGCGCCTGCGCCAAGGACCAATGGCCCTATCTTTTCAGGCAACTGCAGCTGCACCCTGTGTAGCACAGTAGCGCAGCTTTGTAGCATCAGCATGCATCAGCCATATTTTCCGGGAAAAAGTATCGAAGAGTATCGACATGAATGGTACTGTAGAAAAAAAGGCAAAAACAGAATGGAATGCAGCTTAAGTTCCTTCGTCGGAAGCAGAAGTGCAGCTGCCAGCTTCTTGCGGGCAGGAGTTGCTGGCAGCAATCGCGGGGATTGCCAGGAGAGCAGCTCCAGCTGCTTCACCTCCGAGCTTGACAGGACCTTTCAAGCGCTGATCGCAGGTGTATCACTAGTCGAATTGTTGTGTGCCACTTCTGATAACTAGTGCTTCTCGTCCTTGGTCCACGTTATTTGAGGATTTTGAGATCTTTTCAGGCAGGCTTAGAAGCCACAGCCGCAATGACAGCACCAACGGTGATAACCTGTACAGCTCCAGCCGAAAGTCATCATGAGATGCTCAAAGATGTTGCTGCTGTAGGAGGAACCGCGTGATCATCTTCACATTTGGACACAGCAGCCCAAACCTGCGACTATTTTCGGTTTTGAGTATGCCTACGGCAAGTCTCGGATGCCACCGACTTGTGGCTTTGGACCTTGGATGGGCTTAGGGTTTCCGGTTTCTCTGGTGGAGAAACTCCAGCAGCATGTGAAGTGTCGGCTGAGTCGGGCAGGCCTCTTGCCGCAATCGCATTTCCTTTGAAACATCACGGGTAGTCGTTGGCTGAGGGCATTGATTTTGCTAAAATCTCTGTTGTGCCACTGCGCCGCCGTGCTGCTGGGGCTATGTGCCTGCCTGAGACAATGATGCAGACGAAGCAGTCAGCATGTAGGATCGCTGGCAGCAAGTGGAGATCAGGCTGACTAGCGATGTAGTAGCTGGCGTATTCGGCATACGCTTGCTGACCGGATTTATTCGTCATCTGTCATCTACAAGCGGCTTTGCATGCAGCAATGCGAAGTGACGGCTAGCCACAATGCAGCAATGCGAAGTGACGGCTAGCCACAACTGCCAGCCCTTGCCTAGCACAAGAACACAAGAATCTCTGAGGGGCCAACGCTGGCATCAGGTGGGACTGAACAAATATCCACCTTTGCCCTGGTGAGGACCAGGATACAGCTTCCAAGCAGCCATCGCTTCCGCATCGGGTCATGGCAGGATGGACCGCCTCGCTGCCATGCAGTCAAACTTATCAAGCACCAGTCTGAATCACTGAAGATGGAGTCATGGAGTGCTCTTCAAGGATTGCTCGCAAGTCTTCTGATTCTTCTACATGCCAATTGCCAGGAACCTATCCTCTATTGCCATAAACTGGATCAAGGTGAGCAAAGGCCCGGCATTGCTCGTGACGGGTGCAGGATGAGATGGCCAATCTGCTACTTGAAGTGCATGTGCTGGGCATGCGCATCTGTTTCAGACTTTATCACCTTCGCTTGTGCAGACATTGAAGACGGCACAGGGGGCTCTGGTGCACCAAGTGATGCACATCACGAGCGCCCTATTATACTACAGTATGTACACTGTGGCGTTTGTGCCGAAGACCTCAAGTCAGCAGGCACGCCGCCGAATTTGCCGCGTGCGGCCGCCTCGTGAAACTTGCTTCATCTCTGCGAAATCCAGAAGGACTTCCACACCTCCCGATGTGACCGTGCAATTCCTGGCGCCTCCTGTGCAAGCAGACAAGCTCATTCAGCAGTCCTAGCTTCAATGATGACCTGAATTGCACGCTGCAGGTCCTCGAAGGAAAGCCTGGTACAAGCTCTCCACGGCTCTCTGGCATTGCTCGTCAAAGCTCTGGAACCCGTGGCTTACCTTAGTGTTGATACTCGGCTGATTGGAAGACATGCTGACATGTTTTACAACGATTGCAAGCGCACTCGTAACATCTGGGTGCTGAGAACTCCCACACAATGGCGCCGGATCTGCCAGGGTAACCACCCTGAGCCCCAAGTGGCTCGAAGCGGACACGCACGTGCAGCTCGCCTGTGGGTGTCTCCTTGCGATCTATGAAGACCGTGCCAGAAGCCATAAGCCATAGCACTTGGGATGGTCCCCCCTATACTCAGAGGGATTCTGGTACCCCCGATTAAAAATCCCTACTAAGCACTGTTTTTATAATAAAATAAGGGGGGGGACATCCCAACATAGCCCACTCAACACAACCTGCGCTCCTCCAGCTTATTCTTCAGATCTACCTCGCCCCGCTGGAGCACGTTGTTGAAGGGAAGGCGTAGGAGACCCAAACTGTCATCGCTACCCTGAGCCGCCCGTATGTGGTCTTCATCAAAGACCTGATTCCGACGATGCCATGTGAGGCCACAGGCTTAAAGACTCATCTTCCCATTTTGCGCAGCTTTACTGAGCCTCGGACCCGAAAAACAATGTCCTGTGACAAATGGCTGGTGTTCCTCATCTGGTCAAGACACGAGATGGCGAGCAGCTCTTGCCGAACTCGATAAAAACCAAAAACGCTTTGAACAAACCCGAAGGATCCCTGCATAGTTTGGATCAAGTGGCACCGGCAAAGACAAGGAGCAGTTCCAGGTAGGATTCAAATCATCTTGTATGGTCGGGGTGGTCGCTGACTGCAGGCCCAGGTGAACTGAGACGTATGGGTCCGACTTGCTCATGAGGTCGGCATTTCTCAGGTTCCGTGCAGAAACCACGTTTAGGGCCAAGCAACCAGCAGTTCCTCTGTCGACGTCTGGCTTTGCGAAGACGCTGTTGCGCAGAAACCTGGCCTGCCGAGCGGCGTAGTCTGAAGGGTGGACACATGATGTTGACTGCCCATGCCCCTGTGCGGCCCGCAGCAGGTGTTCAGCTTGCTTGCGCAGCCCGAAGTTTATGAGAAAGTCGATCAGGCCAAGAAAGTATACTTTGGTGCCACATGAGGACAACGTGCCAGTCGCAGGCGCCGCTGAGCTGTTGACAGACCCATGGGCGACATGGTGGATCCCGACCAGGACGGAATAATCCATCACGCTGTGTTCCTGGAGAAATTGGACATCTGCTTCGTGAGCCTCTAGCATCTCCCGCCTTGTGACTTCCGACGGGCTGAGCTGCATCTTGTCGTGAATCCAGTCTTCGTCTTTGCCGGTCGTCTCGTCCTTCTTCTTTCTGCGGTGGTGTAGGGAGCCCTTCAGATCGTAGTGTGCGTGAATTTCGAAGGCCGGATCAAAGACAGATTTCATGATGATGAAGTATCTCAACCCCCCTCCTGGAACTGTCACACAATACAGACCTGCGAAGCGAACGATCAGTGAGTTCGGCGTGGAGTGTATATGATCCTGGTATGCTGGCAGCATTCGGAACAGGAGCATGCCTTCATCCTCCGAGATTGTCTTGACCAGAAACTTCTTGTCATGGGAGAGGAAAAAGAATTCACCAGATTTCGAGTTTGTGGACAAACTCCGGTATTCCCCTGATCTGCTGCCAAGTGAATCTATCACACTCTGTACACGGGTGTCGGGATCAAGGTTGTCGAAGAGCTCTGCGCAGAACACCTCGAAGCGAGTTGCCTCCGACTCCGGCAGTGCAGACTTCAATGAGCAGCATCTTCTCGAGAGCGGGTGCGCGCTCAAATACTCTCTGAGGGGCCCGGCCGCTTCGGTGCTGCACTTGTCAAGCAGTCCCTTAAACAGCCGACTCCTTGTCATGGATGCCCGGCACGAAGCATCAACACATGAGCGCACAAGCCCTTGAAGAAATCTGTCTGCAGCTTCGGGGGACTGCCCAGCGCAGACGCTGCCCCGCGACTTGGTGTCAGCGCTCCGCAAGTGGCTCTGTAGAATGGCGTCGTTCGTGTCGAAGCCTATGTTGCCATGAGCCTTGGAGGCCCTTCAAGTCTTAAGTGTCTACAGCCTTCAGTACTAATTCAACAACACACTACTGATGCTACTAATAACATCTAAATATGTAACTATTTCATATTGTCAGAAAACTGAGCAACTTCCATTGACTTGTGCTCCCAAGTTGCGCCCAGCTCCGTTTTCAGGCCGACGTTTGCTGGCGGAGGCCACCGCTGGTGCGACTTGCAAAACGCCACGACTGGCTCCTCAACGAGGGTGGAAGGGTTAGTCTTAACGCTGGCGTCCTTTGGTTTTTGTTCCTAGTAAGCCGAAAGAAACGGTGACAGTACTCGTAAGAGTACTATATCATTGTTAGGAGTTTCTTGGCGGTGAACAAAGAGTATCAGGGGACCTAAAGCCGGGGGGAGCCGCACGCCAACTCTAGGACCTAAGCCTCGGCTAGAAAAAAAAACTGGGGGTCCTCAACATCCGTCAACCAGGCAAGGACACAAAAGCAAACGATCATGGGCACTTTGGGCAACGCAACTGGCAAAGCAAACGATCGAGGCGCGCCACCCTCAGGTCTTAGCATCCGGGGCTCGGCGCATCTCAAAGCGCTGCTTCTCAGAAGGCTGTGGCAAACGTCAGCATGTGACTCCAGCATGTCTTTTGAGAGGCTTGCGTAGTAACCTCGGACACGAAGTAGAGTTGAAGCTTGTGGGCCGTTGTGGACTCCCAAGTCCCTTTAAGCAGGGTTCCGTCTATGCCTAAAACATGCAGCTGGGAAGCGATAGGGCGAGATCTTGCCCTTCTGTGGGGGCAACCGTGCCCGGCTCTCCTGCCATAGATGGGCGGCCCTTTGGCTTTCGGAGCCGCACAATCCTTGAGCAAATCGTGTAAGCAAGTGGCGCGTGAGAGTTGAGTTATACACCTATACAGCCTAATTGCGAAGTTTCGTGCCAAGCTAGGCAAGCCACACTTTGCCAAGACAAACATGTATTTCATGCCACGATATGTGTCACCATTTCGGATGCATGCGGGAGCCCGTGGCAACTACCGCAGGGATAACCGGCGGATAAGTTGCACGGCACAACTCGCGCCTGATAGAAGCGAGCTCTAGCCACCTTCTACAGTAATGCTCGAGTGGCAATTGTGCGCAATGGTATGTTCCATACAAATAATTAAATACACGATATTATGCCCAGGGCCCTGTTGTTTCATCCCACCTGTGCAAGAGAGCCCATCAGCCAAGATGGTCCAAGACACCATTCGCGATCAAGGCCCCAATCAAAAGATCCAGGGCCAAGGCTTGTTCATGAAGCAAGCTGTGTGCGAGCCCATCCCGCATGCAGTGGAACTCCTGAATTTCAGCAGGAAGCAGGCACGTCCTACTTACAAGCTGCGCATTACAACTCACCACCACCCAACAGCGATGCTAAGCAATGCCTCAATGAACAAAGCGCCGCTGAGCAGTTCCATCTTTGCGAACTCGCACGTTTCCGCGACTGCAAGCTGCCTAGCCATTCATCAGCTTGCAGGAAATTATGGCGGGCGCTGCCAAAGATCGCACCATTCATGAATCGCGGCTGCTAGTACTCTCGACTAATCTCGCACAAGATGCTGCAAGCCATCCAGCTCATCGAGTTCCTACAAGATGCAGAAAGATGCTGAACATAGCTTGCGATGCCAAAGCCAATGTCCCCGTCCTCGAAGATGTGCAAACTGAGTGCTGGTGCAAGGAGAACCTCCACCTGCACTTTATGGATGTGCAAGTGTGTGTACATTGATGATCTGAATCATTTGGCGTCCCGTCGCCTGTGAGTTGGTGGAGCAGGTTGCGCTCCTCACGATGGCCTCAGGTGATCTCGCGCAAAGCAACTGCAAAATCGACAGCAGCAGTGCAATTCCATTTTGCAACAGCCATCTGCCGCCTCGATGTGCCACGAGATCGATCAGAAAAGGTACGAGTCTCGCGATTTATTTATTCAGTTGCACGCTTCGTGACAACTGCTCAGAAGACAAGCCACCGTGTTCTCCACACCTTCAGTACGGGACACGCCGCGATTCGTCATCCCCATGAACTGCTGGGGCATCCCCAAGTAGAACTGCCTGGGCTCCAGCCATGATTGTGATGGTGGCGGTTAATGAGACATGAAGGGGGGTAGTGGGGTAGTGGGAGTAGTAGTGGGGGGTGGTAGTGGGGTTGTTGTGGGGGTAGTGAAAATGGTGCGGGTAGTGGGGCGGACGGGGCAGACTTCTTCCGGCCGCAGTTGCTTCAAGGTCTTGTCCGAAAACTCCAGGACAAATTGATCTTGGCCGAAGAGGGAAGAGTAGCTGGCACGCATGTACCTCAGCTTTGATTCAGTATAGTTGGCGTCCAGTGAAGCACGACGCTCCAAAGTTCAATGTATGCACGCTATCCCCGAGGGAAACGGGTGCACCCATGCGTGCACCCGAATGGGGAGGTGTCGAAAGTGTCACGGATAACTTGGGAATGACAATACAGGACCTTTGCACCCAAACAAAGAAAGTTGTTGCGGACATGCGATGATTGTAAGCCTGCGAAGATGCGTGAGAACGAATCTGCAAGGCAGAGCTCTCCTTTCCCACGTAAAATCGAAACCTTGTTGCCGGAAATCCCGGTTTCGCACACGTCCTGAATTGATTGCCTGGGGACGGCAATGGGTGGACATTTTCTTTTGGCCTTTATTTTTTTCTGGCCCCAAGGTTTTCCTACTAACTACAAAGAAACATGGTTTTCTCATTCTTTCCTCGTAAAATATAGAGCCAGCCATAGACCCTTAAAAAGACAGGGCCAACCAACAAAAAAATGAGGGCAACAAAAAATGGGCCCCCGGCGGCAAAGCCTGTTTTCCGTGTCTTGGCCCCGTAGGAATTCCCAAGCCCCGAAAGCGTTGCAAAGCACATGAAAACGGAAGTCCGCATCTTCGCAATCCTCGTGGGGCGAGCTTTGGCTCCGTGATTCTCAGAAAGACACCGGAACCTTTTCCAGCAAGCGAAAGGTTCTTGAGCCACTTGGGCCGAAATTAGGGGTACCTTCTTGGTAAGGGAACCCTACTATTTGGGGGGTCTATATTAGGCCCCCCTATTTTCGTAAACCCCCCACACCTCTCTGAATCTCTCCCTAAACCCATTTTACGGCTAGGACTGCTGCACTGCCTAAACCCTAAACCCTGAACCCTAATCCCAAGTAGGGATCCCTAAACCCTAAACCCTAAACCCTAAACTGGAGATCACAGGGGCTGCCCGAGGAAGAGGTGGTCCCTTCCCAGGGTGAACTCGAAGGCGCCCCCGTGCTCGCCATCGTGCTCGAACTTGATGGTGCCCGCTTCCCCGGGGAGGAGCTTGGAGAAGTGGCTGCACCTCTACAAACTGAGCTTGGGGTTTAGGGTTTAGGGTTTGGGGTTTAGGGCTTAGGGTTTAGGGTTTAGGGGCAAGAGCGCCCGAACAAAATTGCGAGCGAAGACATGCCAAGACACAGTGAAGAGAATTCTAGATGCGCGGAGTTCGGTGCTCTGTGATGCACTCTTGGCGCCCTTTTCTCACGGTTGACGACGGGGCAAGAGTAATTGCAGGGGGGCATCCGAACTTCACCCTTTTCTCTCCTGGAAGCTGTAAGTTAAAGGGCGCTAGTTTCGACTGACAGCGACCTCAGGACATCTTCGGCTTACAATCATGAAGAGTGGGTTTGGATGGTTCTGATGCGTATATACATATACATAAAAATTTATATACACATATATAAATATATATATATATATGTATAAATACATATATATATATGGTTTGGACACTTCACGAATTGCAGGTCCCAAGTTCGGCTGCTCGATTGGAGGCTCTTCGATTGACAGTCTTTGTTGTGTCTCCACTGGCATGTTTCAGGTGTCTTCAAGCCCCGTTGGTTTTGCAGCGCTCCTCATCTCCCTTTCCGCCTCTCTCCCTGACAAAACCCTAACCCTGAGCATGGGCTTTGCCCAGGTGGCCTGCCATAGCTCACCATCGGCTTGCCCTGCACTTCCAGAGTCTTCTTCGTTGCATTGGTGATGTGCGCGGAGAAGATGCGTTTGCCAGAGATCTGCTGGTGGAGGTCCTCTCCTCCTTAGGAGCCCAGGAGCCATATTCAAATAAGGGCCTTGTGTTTTGGTTGGTTACTTTGTAAGGGAAACGAGAACCAAAAAAGAGTAAGGGGTACCATTGAGCTACCAAGCCTCGTTTAGCAATGAAATCTCCCACCTTCTCGAGCAAGTTCATCGGAGTGACGCACAAGGCATGGCCACAACCCGCCAATCTGGGAAGGCAGGCATGTGCAGCTTGCTCAGTGAGACCTGCAGACTCCTATGCGTTTGTAAATGTAGATGCCAATGTCAGTCAGCAATGCACATGCAAGCGGCCATGGGTGTGCTTTGAATGGGTGCTCCGATTTATGTGAGCAACCCGTATGTGAGTATTTTGCTTGTCAGACTTGTCAGTCCATCTCCACCCCAGCTGAATGAGCGGCAGGTCAAGTGAAAGGACGTCAGACAAAGCAGACAAAGCATCTACAGATCTGGCAGGTTTCTGCAATTCAGCCATTCCCTCAAGCATGTTCAATTGTGCAGCATTTTGCTCTCGCGCAGTGTGACGAGCCGTGCCATACCATGCCCCATACCCCCCTTCTTGCCGGAACGTCATCAACTTCCTGGCACTCCCCGTATCTCCCCGTGCCCCTCAGCGCAGGATGGTGAGCACTCAATTTTAGTGCTTCTGAGTTTTCACATTTCGCTTGGACATTCGCTTGAGCTGACATGCCGGTGAAATGTCTAGTCCTCGGGTGGCATCTCACGACAAAGCAAGCAACATGCACTACAGCACCGTCGAGCTACTTGAACAATCACGTGCACTGAGAACGCCACCCTCACAAAACAGTCGCCTCCGTTGGCAACTTAAGGCAACATGGCGAATGCATAGCGAATGCAGTCAAAGGCCAAATTGTCAGCGGAAGATAGCGAAAGCATTGCTGGCAGCTGAGTCGCATGTGACTCCATGATCTTCTGTCGAGCCTCTTGCACACAGCCGTTGCACGTGTTGAGGTTCTGGAGCCTGAGATCATGTCATGACCCGCGTGCAACCTCGACATGCCAAAAAAGCAATGCGCAGCACATATCAGCACATGTTCAACTTTTTGCCGCTGAGGCGAGAGCAATGTTTGAGCATCTGCTTCCTCCAGGTGAGGAAGACATGTTTCACATCAGCACCCGGCAACAAAAATGCAATCTTGACGTCTCTTGACCCCTAAACCCAAAACACTAAACCCTAAACCCTATACCCGATGCCTTCTTTGGGAGCAGGCCACTGGCCAGGACTTCCCAGGAGCCCGCGAACTCCATGAACGGCCCTTCAAGGCAAAGCCTTTGAGCTTCAGCCAAGGCTTTCCTAAGTGCAGCACAAGTTGTGGGCAAATTCGGCACATTTGTGCAGGTCGCTTGGCTCCTTCGGACCCACGTACTTCATGTGTGCCAGCAGAAGCGACAAAGCAACAAGATGTAACGAGGCTGACGACTAGAAAACAATGCAAGTGATCAACCAGCGTGTTCCTGATACATACCAAGCTCTGCCGAGCCTGTGTATAACGTGGAGAATTCGTTTTGGGGCTTTTGGGAATGAGCCTTGACGCCTTTTTGAGTCTAATTGCGAATGGGCGATGACGGAGGTCATTCGCCTGGCCGTCATCGGCGCAACACCGGCCTGGGTAAGGTCGCCAAATGGCGCTGGAAGTCGACCATCGTCTGGTTGCTCAAGATCTCCCCTTGACATCTGGCAGTTCGCGTGGTTTGCGGCCACAGCAGCTTGTCCAGCTCCCGGTTGCGGCGGGTGGCCTTTGCCACCTGCTGGAAGTCCTGAGGCCTGAGTGTGGTGGTGCAGGCCAAGGACTTTCCCATCTTGGCAACTGCTGACTCCGTGGCAAGCTTGAGGAGCTCCTGGTTCCGAGCCTCCTCATGGGCCAGGCTCTCAGAAAGCTCATCACGGAGGCGACTTTCAGCCTGCATCTGGCTCTGCAGTTCCACGCACTCTTTCTCAAACTGCACGGGGTAGGCTACAAAGACCTTCAGGAAGCGATCCACTGAATGTCGGCACACAGGGCAGGCAGACAAGTTCACCAAACACCCTTCGCAAACGCACTGATGTCCGCAGGGTACAGCCACCCTGTCTGCATTCGGTTCAAGGCATACAGCACAAAGGCTCTTGCTCAAGGCGGTCCAGTCAGGGAAAGGTTCCGTCACATCTGCCACCACAAGCTCAGATGCCTCGTGCTCACGGGTCTCAGCCAGGTCTCTTCGAGCTTCAACTTCACATGCTTGTCCGGCAGTCTGAGCTGCCTCCCTTGCCTCTACATCCATCGCTTCTGAGCATTCCTCTGCCGGGAGTTCTTCAATCGCAGCACATGCAAGTTGCGACTGCTCATAGCGCTTGTGCAACTCCTGCAACTCTTGCAGTTGGCCCCTGAAGGACCGCAGCTCCTGAGCTGTGCGGTCTGCGGTCGTCTGCAGTACTTCCAGATCAGATCGCGCTGCCTGCAGCTCAGCCAAGCTGTGCTGCAATAGCAGCTTCCTGTCTTCCGGTTCATGGCAGAAGTGATCCAACATGCAGCTGGCACACGAGGCATCACTCGCAGAGACTTCCTCAGGTGCTTCCACTTCTACATCCCAATAGCGGCTGCAATGGCCCCCCATTTGCAAGCAGCGCCCGGCCACGAGGACTGCACTTTCTGAGTCACACTAGGCACGTAGCATGATCTACATTGACAAACTGCCTACAAGATGTTCCGTAAACATACTCATGCTTGACAACCTTAGATACCCTCGGAACTTGATCCAGAATTCGTTCGGCAATTGCATCAGGTCCCACACATCCCGGCACCGAACTCGGCCCACATGTAAAAGTCTTGCAAGCCTTGCCCGGAATCAACCTTTCATCCACGTTATCTACTTTGCGCCAGAGCGTCACATCCACGTCCATTGTGGTCAAAGGTCTGCGACGCAAACTTCGCGCAGCTTTCCTTGGCGTGACCAGCGCCACGTCCGCTCCATCTGGTGTCCCTCCTGCTGAGACGAAAATCACACAAGCGGCGATTGTGATTGCAATCAACTGCACAAGCTATTGTGGCCTGTGACTTCATCGGCCTTCACCTGTCAACGAGTCGAAAAAACCCCCTCCCAAGCAACCAAACATATCATGTCGGCGTAGGAGCGCAACCAATTCAAGCACAGGACATGTACGAACAGCATAGAAGCTCTGTCATACCTTTCTTCGGGGCACCGAACGCTTCAGGTGATGTCAAGTCGCAAAAATGTCAGGGAATGTGGACTGTGGTGGGAGCACGAGGAGCGTGCGCACGAAGTACGGTCCTAGGCCAGACAAAAAACAGTCACGCTGTGCGGAGGTGTGACGTGCAGAGGATGGGAGACGAAGACATCCTCTCAGTTGGACCCAATTGCCCAATTTCGAGCCGAAAGAATTGCACTGGAGCTTGCGCACGGGACGAGACTGAGGCAGATGTGATTTCGAAACAGCGCATTCTGAAGTGCAAACCTCCTTAAGATGGATGCGCGAAGTGGACCTGTCCCGAGAGGCAGGAAAGAACGCCCCTCCCATGCTCCACAACATGGGCGAAAATGGGCGAAAGTGTTAATTAAACATCACACACGGAGTTGCGCACGGGACAGTTGTGCGAGCAAGACGCGGCGAAGTGCGAATGCCCACTAGAGCTGAGACAAACAAATCTGGAGCCTTGCAAGCGGAGTTTGAATCCCGCGGTTGACCCTGCCCCCTTCCCAGCACGTGAAGTCACGGCTTCTTGTAGAATTCTCTACAAAGATTTCGGGCCGAGGGGGGTGATCTTCCGTTAACGCACGCGTCCTATAGTGCACTCTGCTTGGTGAATGAAGGAACTTCGAGGCTAATATAGGCTACTCGCATGTCGAAAGCAGCCCCTTTTGCAACTGGACTCCTTGCTGCCAGGATGCAGCCCCTAAACCCTAAACCCTAAACCCTAAACCCTAAACCCTAAACCCTAAACCCTAAACCCTAAAGCCTTGGAAGTTGTGTCGTGCTCCATTAGGTCCCGCCGCCCCTCATGAACTCAACTTACTGCTGGTTAGTAGGGAATGAGGGAACAAGGTACCCTGTGTATTTCCCTTAAAGGGTATATCAAAGGGATATAGGGTACCTCATCCCCTCATTCCCTACCAACCAACAGTAAGACAATGCAGCTGGCGGCCTTTCTCCGCTTGACGCTTACGATGGAGGCAAGGTCGGCATGATAGTCTGCCAGCTTCTTGCCGTTCATTAGGTGCACGCCATCCAGCAGAACCTGCACCATTGTTGGGGTACTATTGAAAGTTCTCACTTTTGTTCCTTACTAGGTTTAATAAAAGTATGCATAGAAATGTGTAAAACGATTTTCAACAATGACCCAGGGACAGAGGTGGGCGTGAACCCGAGCGTGTTCTGTATGGCAAACTTGACAGACTCGATCGTATCGCTGCTGTGGACGGCAAGGTCGCGCTTCTTGCCGAGGTACTGAAGCTTCAGCTTGAGTGCCATACCTGATGAAACGTCAAGACTGGATCGATACCAAAGCAAAAACCATCCCCCCACACGCATCTCGCCATATCTCACAGGCCTCTGAGCCCACCTGCTAAGCACTGGCTAAGCACTGGGACTGTGAGCCCAAGGCCGACAGTGGCAGATGTCCCTGGTGCACCAAATGTGATGCTTGCAGCCGTCCCTTGCACATCGAATGTTGAGCCATTTGCAGCTCCAAAGTTTCCATGGCATCGACTGAAGATGAGGCTGTCATGTCTTTAACCGCTCAATTTCTCAATCTCCCGAGGGTCGTATTGCAGTCCCACGCACGACTTCTTGGAAGGACTGTGCGCTCAGGGCTTCGGTGGTGTACAATTAACATAAGAGAGCTCCTCCGAATCCATCGGAAGGCTGCATGTACGTACAATTACGTACTGCAGGGTACTACGAAAGGCAACATCAACGACAAGGCCCAGCGGAGCAACCGCTGAGTCTCTACTGAATCCTACTGAAGCTGCTGCATCACCTGCAGCTGCATAGCCCGGATTTCTCGCATTAACACCTGGGCCAATGGCTTGCGACTGGGTTTCTTTTTGCTTTAACACATGAGCTTAGACTGGAGACTCAAGACGTCGGCACGTGTCATGTTGCCTGAACTTCCAGCTCGAAGCCAAGCTGCCAGAACATCTAAAGCTTTTGCCGGCCCCCTCAATCTCAGGCAGCCCGAAAGAAACTCATCTGCATCCAGCGTGCCGTCATCGTCAAGGTCTAAGATCTTGAACACCTCACGCACTCAGACCCCTCGTCGCCCTGCAGTTGCTTGAAAGCTTTTGGACCTGGATGCCAGAGAGCTAACTCGATAATCCCTGGCCCTGGGCAGTCTCTGGAGCATTCTGTGGCAATTCTTCAGTAGCTGGGATCACCGGGATCAGGCCAGGCAGGCCAGGTTACGCAATGAGCCTCGGAAATGTCCAAATCAATGGCTTTGAAGAGCTCCTTTCAGCGGGAAGCGAAACGGTCTTGATAAGTCTTGATGCCTCTGACAGTCAGGAGCACAGGCTGCACAAGCTCCTTCATGTCCTTCGAGTTTATACTTGACTGGAAGTCGTCCCAGGTGATGACGCCGGTGCCGGAGGTTTCCATTCGTCTCGGGTAGCTCACTCCTACTCTGCCTACCCCAGGAGTCTTGGAAATGATGTGGTGGATTTCTTGGCCAGGCTGCTTGAAGACGCCGCGGACATATTGCACCAAGTAGTTGTCCTTGTCCTCCTTTACCCTCTTTACAGCGCTCTCGACGCACACCTCTTGTTGAAGTCTTCCCAAAATGGTGCAAACTTTGGCGGGGGGAGTTGGTGCTTCCTTGTGAAAGTTAAACAAATCTGAATTACAACAACAGACCTCCAAAGATAACCCTAAAACCCAACCTGAACCCTAGGTGGTTGTAACAAGTAAGGTCGCGGCCCCTGTAATCACGTTGAGTAAGGCCAGCAATGTGAACGCGATGTAGCAAAACACCACGAGCACTGGCAAGGGCCCGGTATGAGCCTCAGCGAGAAGGGTTTAGGGTTAAGGGTTTAGGGTTTAAAAACTGGCAAATGTCGAGCTCTACAAACCTGATGTCATGCTTAGCCCCTGAATCGATGCCAAGGCGCCATCAAGGGGTTCACGGCGACTGCCCAGTCCATCCCACCGGTGATTATTTGCCACAACGTGAGCATGCCTTATTATTAAGCATTCAGAACGCGCGTCCCGGCCAGATGGCGAACCAGCATGTCAAGAAGCACCTAGGCACAGCAGAAAGGCAGCAGTGCCTCGGGAGAGGGATCCGTAGTATGTCCTTGGTAGAAGCAGCAGCCGTACGGAGTTGAGAGGCTTCCTCAGCCAAAGGGTCCCTTATGAGCGACCTGGGGCAATGCATGTGCCACTTGATCAGCAATTAACCCAGATATACCAACAATTGCAGATATATACCAATTAGGGTAACTGGGACTAAGACTGAGTCCGACGAAGTCATTTCTACTTGAGGCAAGCGTCCCCAGCTGCTCGAAGCCCTCGTCTGCTATGTCTGTTGCCACGCGGTGGTAGTTGCATGTGTCCACGAGGAAAACTGCCAGCAAGTAAATCCTCGATGGCTACATCTTCGCAGTTCTAAGCCAACCAGTGAAGGATCAGTAAATTTACAGCTGAGCGGCAGCATCATGAGCACCAACCTCGGTGTTCATTCGCTTGCAAGTCACGGCTGCTGAAGAAGCAACAACCATCAAACTCCCGAGTGGACAGCTGGAAATGTCTAGAACTCGCAGCTGGTGCATCGAAGTCTCAGTGCTCCCAGCAGAGGCTTCAAGCAGGTGCTCACGGACCAAATGATGGCTCGCACTTCCCCCAGCATCCTCACGCAGGAGGCGAGTAGTGCAGCTGTCGGATTGGCACATTAGATGCAAACTTTGGGCAGTCGCAAACAATGATGCGGGGAAGATTGCGGAAGTATGCGGAAGCGATGTGTGTGCAACCAGTATTATTTAAGCCGGACTGGGATGAGGTGGGAAGGATGACTCTGGCCAACGCAGGCCATGGCCTGAGCACGCGATAACTCCGCACCTGAGCGAAAGACGTGGTACTGCATGAACAGAGATACTGTGCATTGAGCTCCGCACGATCCGCACCAGCCTTACCATCCGGATCGACCGCATGATGTTGAGGTTTACGGCGCTGGTCTCGCTGTCTGCCGTGGAGACTGTTACAACGACCTCTTGGAGTCTAACTTGGGAAATCTTGAAAGGGGGGGGGACTTGGGATGTTCCCCCTTATACTAACAGTCCCTAACAGGGATTCTAATCGGGGGTACTATAATCCCTAGTAAGGAGCTGTTAGTACAAGGGGGGAACATCCCAAGGGGGGACTGTCACATGGGCGCTGAGTCTTTCCGAGTCACATCGAGCCACTGCAGTGCCATGAGCAAGAAGTCAAGCAGGTTGAGGGACCAGGTCGTACCCAGGAAGAAACGCGAAGGATTTGCTGAGATCTTCAGAATCATCTCCAGCGTGAAGAATGCACCTGAAATCACGAAACAAGAGTTCGCAGCTAAGCACTGCGTACGTACTGTAGAGCCATACTGTAGAGCCAGAACAGCTTTCAAAGGCACAAAAAGCCCAGCCAAGCCCAATGAACTCTTCCGGCGTCTGGGCCATCAGGTTGGTAGCCATGATGTTCGTTTCCAGTCCCAAGCAGAAGGCGTTGAAGAGAATCACCGCCAGCGTCAGATACTCCATGGGCCACGCGTACACGAGCATCTCGTAGATGTGCCACCAAGATGTGCGAGCTTCCTCATCCTGGTCATGCGAGGATTTCCTCCTGGTCGTGTCGACATGCTGCACTCTTTGCACGAGTGCGTCCCAGCCGGTGTCTTTGGCATTTTGATGCTTCCGACCCATAACGGCCTTAGAAGGAGATCCTTCGTTTTCAGTGCAGAGGTCGGCCTGGACGCTCTGGAAACTCGACCTTCCAACTTCCTTGCTGTGCCCTGCGGGCCCTGCGGGCCCTGCGGGCCCTGCGCGCTGAGGCTCGGGATCGGGAGGGTTGGGAGGGTCAGGAGAGGCATTGAGAGCATCCGCCGGCTCATCTGCCACTGACCCTGGGAGTGGGGCACCTTCTTCACTGGCCTCCAGCACTGGGGCTGGTGCAGGCGCTTCATGCGCAATGGAGGCTTGAGGCACAATCTGCAGTGGAGGGGCTTCGTGCTCAGACCTCTGAGTCACCCGACTTTTGTCAACAACTGCTCTCCAAATCTCCTTAACACTGGTATGCTGCGATGGCTTGGAGGCTTCCCGAACTGCGGCGGGGCGGATGTGTCGGTGAGCCCATTCATGGTCATGGTCCTTCTTGCCATCTGTCCCATCTATCATGGCAGTTGCGGCGGCTCGAAGGGTTGGGCCACCATACCTCTGAGAGCTTAGTACCTCCCGAAGCTGCTCGCATGAGATCTTCGCGGTCTCTTCTGCGAAAGCCTGAAACAGGTCCGGCAACTTCTCCTTGGCGAACTTCTGCAGCTCACGCTGCAAGTCTGCACAAGTAAGCGCATCACCCAAACGATGTCCCTCCCCGGCCATACCACGAAACAAGGAGTCAAGCTCTTGGGCCTGATGTGTGCAGGCGGTACTATATACCTATAGTCGTATATTATTATGATTATGATGATTATTATTACTATTTTAGTTGTTTTGTTTTTTATCAATGTTACTATTATATTATGACTATTTTTATAGGGCAGCTGCAAGGAGCATCAGGGGCTTGTGCAAGCAAGCTGTCTAGCATCGCACTTCACACAGCAGCTGGTGCTGGCCATTTCATCAACGAACCAGAGGCTACGCTGCTACTTTTCTTATCCTTGACTGGTGACTACTCCGACTTCTCAAGTGAATGCCACATGCAGCCCTTTTTCAGCGTCCTGACAAGTCTTGCTGCGTGGACTCTTCACTTCACATCACGGTGCAAGCCTCGGCTGGGGCATCACACATCACAAAGGTTTCGAATAATAATCATCATCAAAATCATCGTAGTACGAATAAAAATACTAATAATAATAGTAATCATAATAATGGTAATAATAATAATAATAGTAATAGTAATAGTACTCATAATAGCACACTCCCACCTTTCGCTGCCAGCTCCTTGCCGCAGCGTGGCTGTGTCTGGAAGGTTGGAATTCTCGCTTCTGTGTCGAGATCCTTTGCCATTGCGTCGCTCTGGAGTCGTCTGCATCAGCTGCTTCAACCTGCCACCGCTCCGATTAGACGCTCAAGGGAGACGGGGTTTATGAAACCAGGGACCTCGTTGTGATTTTAGGGAGAGGGCTGACTTATGAAGAGAGCCATAAGAAATGCCGAAAAATGATGTCCACGGTCTAACGTATCATCTTACCACGCTCTACACAAACGCATGCTCACATGAATAGTCGAATTGGCCTCTTCTTCTTGGCCGCGCTGGTCCCCGCAACGATGTCTTGCAGTTCCGGATTCTCCTTCAAGTACTGCTTCAGCGCTTCCTCTGTTTCCTGCGCAGGAAGCCCTAAACCCTAAACCCTAAACCCCAAACCCTAAGCCACATGAATAAGATTCACACAGACTCTCCCTCGTCAGCCTGCTGCTTTTGCTTCGCCGTCTTTTCTGACCAAGCCGGGGTCCCATACCTCCACTTGCCATCGACACATGGGGGTTTACGAATATAGGGTGTAGGGTGTATAGGGTTTAGGGTCCGTATCATAAGGGGATCCTACTATTTGGGGGTCTATATGGGTGTATATTCTGGGGGCCCCTTACACTTCCAGTGACATCGCTCACAGTTCTGCGGCATGGACTCCGGGGCTCCGCACACTATGCATCGGGACGAGGTGTCATTCTTGCCACCGCCCAAGTGGCCATCCTACAAAGTGCAAGGCTGTGGACATTTGTGGGGGGCGCTGATCTTCACCGGACATGGACGCAATAACATAACTATAATCATAATAATAATAATAATAATTGTAATAACAATAACAACAATAAACATGATAATACATAGTACTAACAAAAGTACATAAATAGTAGTAAATAATAATAGTTGTAGTAATAATAACTCAGCAACTCCTTGTAGTGGTCGTAAGGTCTTTTTTTGTCCAGCTCGGCGCCGCAAAGGTAGCAGCCTCGAGCAGTCTTTTCTGGGCATGTTGTCCAAACATGTTGGCGCGTATGGCTAAGGCCTTGGCTATGGGTGCCACAGGGACACTTGATGTGGTTGCAGCCCTCTTCCCTTGTGAATTCGTTGCTGGACAAGACTGGCTGAGCTGAGTGTCACTTGCTGGGGCACCTCTCGTAAGGTTTCCGGCACCTCTTGTTGGGGCACCTTCTTAGGGCCACTTCGGCCATCTTCTCTTCCAGAAAAGTCCTGTTGCCGCCAAAAAACTGTTGTCCCGAATCGCATGTATGTCCAAGATCGCTCATTTCTGTGGAAGCCTGCCTTATCCTGGTCTCCCCATCCTTGGCTTCACCGTGGGCTTTGTCATGGTAGCAATGTGCCGAGTACTGGAAGTGTGCAAGTAGCCCCACTGGCCGAGGGGTTCGCACATGGAAGTGACATGCTCATTGGAGTGCCGCGGAGGTGCGTTCTCGACCTCGTCGCACTTTAAAGGGTTGTGCTCGGGCTTCATGCACCAACGGCAGGTGATCTTTCCACACTCCGGATCCAAACACTTCACGACACCATCCTGAGCGGGTCTGAGCTTTTTTTGTGCGAAGCGCGAAGCTCGCAGATGCGCAGCTGAACCGACCGATCAAGTCTCAGAAAATTTTGGGCCACCCGCCTAGCAACAAGTCTCAGCAAGTGATGATCTAATCGCGTGGCAGGCATCGTTGTGATCCGTCATCTGCACCATGAAATCACAGTGAGGGCCTGCGAAGTGCATGAGGTGCAAAGTAGAGTTAGGACATGTTATGAGTAACGACTTAGTTACGTGTGCATGCTTGCCATCCTGAGGCCTAAGGTCTGCGCACGCTACTAGGTCTGTAAGTCCAGAGTTCGCAGCTTCCAGAGCGGCTGACCGCCTGGAGTACCGTACCTCTGCAAAGGGCATGTTAAGAGGGACAACAGGGACACACAGAGCGAGGGAGAGACAAAGGGAGACAGAGAGATAAGTCGAAGAATAGAGCTGCTGGCAAGCTGCGTAGTCCTTCCTTGGAAGGGCCTGCTGAGCTGGCAAACGCTGAGGGTCTCTGCGCCAAACGTGCACCCAGATCCGATACAGCACGCAGCACTATAAACGGAAAGATACGGAAACCGGAACAAGGCTGTGCCGCCTTTGCTCTACATTTACAGCACATGCTTCGGAGCGCAAACCCCGGATCTCCCCCCTCCCCGTCCCTGTCCGGCCGCCCCCAGCACAGGCCCCATCAACAACTCATGACATGCTCGGGGCCTTCTGTAAAGCAGTGTCTGTGAAATGCCCTTGACAACCAGATGTGTCCAGGCAACCTGGAAAAAGCCAGCACAGAGTGGCGGACTGCTCAGAGTGAGCCAGGACATCAGTCGCAACTTGTAGTCCAAGCCAATATCCAAGGAGCCGAGTCTGGAACAGCTCAAGCCTGGTACATCAGCTTCACTCCTGCCAGGCCCACAGGCTCACTGTGCTCACAGATGACAGACGCAGGTGGGACGCAGGCCAGACAACAGAAGGCTGGTGCAAACAGCTCCTCCCCTCGGAGCTGCTGGCAACTGAGCTCGAACCCCCGCTCAGGTTCAACGTGAACAGTCCCCTTCCAAAAAACTCCAGTGCTGCGTGCTTGACCTCAGGGTGCAGGGCTGATCTCTGAGAAAACTTGCCGAAAGCTTTCTGGGCTGTTCCAGGCCCTCGGCGCAGGGAATGCAAAAGCCATGCCCGGCCGTTGCCGAGCACCGCAGCTCCTCCTGCACCCCCTCAACCACAAGCCCAGCAGGGTTTAGGGTTTAGGGTTTAGCGGGCTTTAGGGTTTAGGGTTTAGGGTTTTGCATAGTATACAGGGTGTGAGAAAAGTCGTAATCAGCAACCTCCATCTACGAACTTCCAGAACTCTCTCAAGCTATACTCATGCTTACACCCACAGCTCGCTCTTCTGGGAGGAGCTCGTCGTCGAAGCAGCAACCACAAGTTCCAAGACCTCCGACTGCTTTCAGATCTCGGATTCGTGCAGCCCGAGCCTGACAGGATCCGCTTCATCTCCCTCTCGCATCGCAGGTTCTGCGGGTCAAGTAAAAGTGTGGCCTGCTTCCTTTTCCTCAATGCTTCGCCGATGGCCACAGCATCTGGCCCAAGATCCATTTCCTGTGCTCTCTCCAAGTCTACGTGCAGTACAATATTTGGTCGGAGTACTGGTCGACGTTTTGCAACGTTTTCCCAACGGTCCCGATGACACCCCCTCACAACTAAGGTCCAGGGGTAGAGACGGACAGCACGGGAGGGGTGGCCGCGCAAACCGGACAGACAGTCACACGCTCAGATTTGCCGTCCCCAGTCTTCTTACTCTTCTTCTGCTTGCGTCTCCGCCGACAACACTTTCCAGCGTCTCTCCAAAAGCTTATTGCCTTCATAATCTTCCTTCCTTCCTTCTCAATGTGACGCTCTCTCATTCTCTCGCTGTCCATGTCGCAAACTCTGCATCAGCACTTAGACTTGAAGAGGCACTTTCTGGAGCATCGCCGGCACTTCGCATGGAGGCGCGGGCTTCTTTGGCCGAGAACACTTCAGCGATTCTTTCTCATCGCTCGCCTGGGTCTTACACTACCTATATCTGCTTGCAAGAAAGTCGGGCGGTTGAATATTTAGGGTACCCCAAAAGGGATCGTAATTTACAGCCACAACAAGCACACGGTCGACACAGCATGACGGCCATGCCTCCAGAATGGAGCGAGCTTGGCTGTAAGTTCCCGCCTCTAGCACAAGGCCGCACCCCACTAGCACCCTCAGACTGGTGCCCAACAAGCACATCAAAAAGCATACTACCATATGCAATGTATAATATATATATATATATATAATACATATAATATATATATATATGTATATATATATATATATATTTTTATTTATTTATATTTATATATATATATATATATATATATATATATTTATTTATTTATATATTTATGCGGTCGATGCCATCTGTTCTGCTGAACCGCCTGCTCGAAGGCACTGCGGATGGTTGCTGCTGGAGCTCGTCTGAATTCAGTCATCAGGGCATGGAGTGCATGCAGCGCATACACCTGGGCAGCACCCAGAGCTGGCTTGATACCAAACTCAATTTTCACTCGCCAAATTATTGCTTCACCGGAGTGGTAAGATTCCCGTTGCTGCTCATCCGTATCTACATGGCACGCTCGCATTCTGCATGACCAGGGCCCAAGCCGTGGGTGTGTTTGAGGCTAATTATCCAAATGACGTCGGAACGAAGCAGTGCAGCCACCGAACAGTGGACATTCGCATGTCCCTCAAGCCCTAAACAAAAATATTGAGACCCTATATGGTGATTTCTCTCATTTATTGGGGTCCTTATTTTAAGGCGGCCCCTCTTATGTTTGGTACCCCAAAAGGGACCATATTTTTGAGAACTCACCATGTAAACCCTAACCCCTAACCCCTAACCCCTAAACCCTAAACCCTTTTGCACAAACCCTAAACCCTAAACCCGAAACCCGAAACCCGAAACCTTAAACCCTAACCCTCACGACAACGGTCCCACCCCCCACTCCGCACCTTGGAGTCCTTTGCCTCCGCGTTGATCTCCAGGCCTGCTTCGTCTAGCAGCGCCTCGCCCCGAAGAAAACGAGCCCACCTGGGAGGCATTATCCGCCGACCCCAGCCGGAGCGGGGGCGGCGTCAGTGAAGACCCATCGTTGTCTGCTTCCTCGCCCAGTGCCTCGCTGCCCTTGCTGTCTGCTTCGTTGTGCAGTGCCTCGCTGCCCTTGCTGTCTGCTTCGTTGTGCAGTGCCTTGCTGCCCTTGCTGCCTTCGCCAGACCCATTGCCCCTACCACCTACTCCACCCCATCCAAAGCTCGACCGGCCCCCAGTGCATGCCCGCCCGCTTGCCCTACGCTTGCCCTACCCTTACCACCCACGCACCCCGCCCCCCGCTCCTTCCCTTGCCCAAGCCCCCCACGCACCCCGCCATGCTTCTCATGGACCCATGGCTCCTCCCAGTGCATGCCCGCCCGCTTGCCCTACCCCCACCACCCACGCACCCCGCCCCCCGCCCATCCGCCCTTCCCGCTCCGCATACTCCTTCCCTTGCCCAAGCCCCCCACGCACCCCGCCATGCTTCTCATGGAGCCATGGCTCCTGGTCCCACTCTTCATCCCAAGCTCGACCGGCCCCCAGTGCATGGCCGCCCGCTTGCCCTACCCCCACCACCCACGCACCCCGCCCCCCGTCCATCCGCCCTTCCCGCTCCGCATACTCCCCCACGCACCCCGCCATGCTTCTCATGGACCCATGGCTCCTGGTCCCATTCTTCATCCCTCCTATTTATGGCCCCTGCTCCACCCCCACCCCCAACCCCCACCCCCACCCCGCACGCACCCTGCCCCGCCGCCCATGCTGTCATGGACCCATGCTCCTGGCCCCATGGCTCCACCCCCCCCCCCCCCACCCCCCACCCCCAGCATACTCCTTCCCTTGCCCAAGCCCCTCACGCACCCCGCCATGCTTCTCATGGACCCATGGCTCCTCCCAGTGCATGCCCGCCCGCTTGCCCTACCCCCACCACCCACGCACCCTGCCCCCCGTCCATCCGCCCTTCCCGCTCCGCATACTCCCCCCCTTGCCCAAGCCCCCCACGCACCCCGCCATGCTTCTCATGGACCCATGGCTCCTGGTCCCATTCTCCATCCCTCCTGTTTATGGCCCCTGCTCCACCCCCACCCCCAACCCCCACCCCCACCCCGCACGCACCCTGCCCCACCGCCCATGCTTGGCTCCTGGCCCCAGTCTTCATCCCTCGACCTGCATGGCTGCCAATGCTGGTCCTATATATGGCCCCTGCTCCACCCCAACCCCCAACCCCCACCCCCATACCGTACGCACCCTGCCACCCCCACCCCCACCCACCCACACTTCCAACCCCCACCCCCACCCCCCACTGCCACGCACCCCGCCCCCCATTGAACCCATGGCTCGTGGCCCCATTGGCTCATGGTCCACGGCCCATGGATGTGGCTTCTCAGCTGACTTTAAAGGGCCCCAGTGCATGCCCGGGCCCTCCGCCCGCTCCGCCCGCTCCGCCCCCTCCGCCCTCCGCCCTTCTAGCTCCGCCTACTCCCCTCTGGCCCATGCTCCCACTCTCCATCCCCTTGACCTACCCCTCATGGACCCAGCTCCCTACCCCTACCCCTTACCCCTCACGCACCCATGCCCCTCATGACCCATGGCTCCTGGCCCCATGGCTCCCCATTCATTATGGTCCACGGCCCAAGCAGGTGGCTTCTCCGCCCCTACCCCCACCACCTCTACCCTTCCCGCTCGACCGGCCCCCAGTGCATGCCCGCCCGCTTGCCCTACGCTTGCCCCTTACAAGCCCCCCACGCACCCCGCCATGCTTCTCATGGACCCATGGCTCCTCCCAGTGCATGTCCGCCCGCTTGCCCTACCCCCACCACCGCACCGGCTGCAAACACCCGCCCCCCGCCATTTGGGAAAAAGGCCCGCCCTTCCCGGCTCCCGCAAAATACCCTTCCCTTGCCCAAGCCCCCCCGCACGACCCGCCAGCTTTCTCATGGGTACCCAATGGCTCCTGGTCCCCTGTCTTCAACCATCCCAAGCTCGACACCCGGCCCCCAAGTGCATGGCCGCCCACGCATTGCCCTAACACTCCCCACCCCCCACTGGCACACCCGCCCCCCGCCCTCCCCTTGCCAGCCCCCCCACGCACCCCGCCATGCTTTTCCTGGACCCATGCTCCCCCCGTGCATGCCCGCCCGCTTGCCTAACCCCCACCATCCCACGCACCCCCCCCCCCCCGCCCACTCCTTCAACACCTTCCCCCTCCTGCATACTCCTTTCCCTTGCCCAAGGCCCCCCACGCACCCGCCATTCTTCTCCAGGACCATGGCTTCTGGTCCCTGGTCCCATTCTTCATCCCAAGCTCGACCCCGCGCCCCAGTGCATGCCCGCCCGCTCTCCCTGGCCCCACCACCCACGCACCCCGCCCCCTCTTCCATCTTCCATACCTCCCTCGCCCCCGCACGCGCCCCGCCATACTTCTCATGACCCAGCTCCTGGTCCCATTTCTTCCCTATCCACCCCCCACCCCCACCCCCACCCCCACCCCGCCGCACCCTTCCCCACCGCCCACGCTTTGCCATTGCTCCTGCCCAGGATCCCCCCCCCCCCCACCTCCCCACCCCACTGCATCTCCTTCCCTTGCCCCAGCCCGCCCAACGCACGTCCCGCCATGCTTCTCATGGACCATGGCTCCTGTCCCATTCTCATCCCAAAGACTCCGACCGTCCACCATTGCATGCCCGCCCCGCTGCCCTAACCCCACCACCCACGCACCCCTGCCCCCCCCGTTGCATCCGCCCTTAAATCCCGCTCCTGCATCACTCCCCCCCTTGCCCCAGCACACCCCCGCACCACCACGCCATGCTTCTCATGGACCCAATGGCTCGCGTCCCATCTCCATCCTCCTGTTCATGGCCCCTCGGCTCCACCCCCACCCCCACTACCCCCACGCAACCCGTCCCCCCCACTGTCGACACCATGGCCTCCTGGCCCATTGGCTCTTTGCGCGCTCAGTCATTACATCGAGCCTGCATTCGATCGTGCCATGACCTGGATCCTATATATGGCCCCCTGCTGCGCACCCCCCCCGCAACCCCCACCCCCACCCACCCACACTTCCTCTACCCACCCCACCCCCCACACACCCCCCCCCACTGACCCATTCTCCTCTGGCCCCATGGCCTTCATGGTGCCACAGGGCCCATGGATGTGCTTCTCAGCTGAAACTTTGAAGGGCCCCGTTCCATGCCCGGGCCCGCCGGCGCCGCTTGCTTCCGCCCGGCTCCGCCCCTCCGCCCTCCGCCGTCAGCTCCGCCTACGCCGCCTCTGAGCCCTAGCTGTGGCACTCTGCCCATCCCCCTGACCTACCCCTCATGACCCAGCTCCTACCCCTTAACCCCTCCCGCACGCATGGGCCCCTCAAATGAAACCCATGGCTTCCTGGCCCATGGTCTCCCCCATTCATTATGGTCCACGGCCCAAGCAGGTGTCTTCTCCCCCACCGTACCCACCCCCCCCTCTACCCTTCCCGCTCGACCGGCCCCCCAGCGCATGCCCCCCCCTTTGCCCTACGCTTGCCCTACCCCTTACCACCCACTGCCTACCCCCCGCTCCTTCCCTTGCCAGTGCCCCCCACACACCCCGCCATGCTTCTCATGGACCTGGGCTCCTCCCAGTGCATGTCCGCGAGCTTTACCGCTTGCCCTTAATAATAGCCCCCACCACCCACAGCGGCACTCCCGCCCCCCGCCAACCCTGCACCTTCCGTCTCCGCATCTCCCTCCCATTGCGCCAAGCCCACCCACGGCACGCCCGCCCTGTGGCTGCCTCATGGAACCCTGGCTCCCTGTTTCCCATTTCTTCATCCCAAGCTCTGCGACCGGCCCCAGTGTCAAATGTCCGCAGCCCCCACCCACGCCGCGCCCCCAGTGCATGCCCGCCCGCTTGCCCTACCCCCACCACCCACGCACCCCGCCCCCCGCTCCTTCCCTTGCCCAAGCCCCCCACGCACCCCGCCATGCTTCTTATGGACCCATGGCTCCTCCCAGTGCATGCCCGCCCGCTTGCCCTACCCCCACCACCCACGCACCCCGCCCCCCGCCCATCCGCCCTTCCCGCTCCGCATACTCCTCCCTTTGCCCTTTATGGCCCCTGCGCACCCACATGCTGTCCTGGAAACCCATGGCTCCTGGCCCCATGGCCCATCCCCCCCCCGCCCATCCGCCCTCCCCGCTCCGCATACTCCTTCCCTTGCCCAAGCCCCCCACGCACCCCGCCATGCTTCTCATGGACCCATGGCTCCTGGTCCCATTCTTCATCCCAAGCTCGACCGGCGCTCAGTGCATGGCCGCCCGCTTGCCTTACCCCCACCACCCACGCACCCCCGTGCATCCGCCCTTCCCGCTCCGCATACTCCCCCCCTTGCCCAAGCCCCCCACGCACCCCGCCATGGGCCCA